CCTCCCTCCTCCTCCTCTCTTCTTACTACTCTCACACTACTTCCTCTCTCTCTCTCTCTCTCTCTCTCAATCAGCCATTCTCGAGGAAGGCCTGCATCTTCTCCACAGAGACCACAGCAGCATCCCTCACTCTCGCCACACCAGCAGAATCCACCACAGTAGCGTGTCTCTCTCTTGCCACACAGGTGAGTTTTTTGGCTTCACCTCTATTTTCTTTTTTATATGGATAATGGCCTGTTGGCTACATTGATGGACATGCAATCCAAGCGTCAACAACACGAGAGAGATGGGAAGAATCAAACCTCGCCCTTTCTAGGTTGTTTATTGACTGCTGAAAATGAACATTGACTGTTGAACTGCAGGTGATTGCAGGCATAAAATATTGGTGAGTCGTCAGAGGAACGATTGAACGAAATCTCAGTTTGGCCTCTTGGCCTATACATAAAATCTGGTTTGCAGCATGGCCTCTTGGCCTATACATAAAATCTGGTTTGCAGCATTGATCTGCCCTATTTTCGAGTCACTGTGATGTAGTTATCTATTGTGCCTGGTTTGATTGTGGTGTTTCCAATGTAATATGTTCCTATGCTTTTGTCATTGGCATGGTGATTGGGTTTAGGGAGAAGTGGTCTAACTTATATTGTGCAGAATTTTTGTTTGGTTTTTGAGGGACAATTGGTGTGTTGGTTGTCTGAGGACTCCTTGATGTACATTATAGAAGGAATATTTTTATGACAGTTTATGGACATTTGGTAGAAATTCTCTTTCCCATTCTTTGTTACTTTTTCATTTTTTTTTCTATGGCTCATGAGTGTGGTATCTGCACATATTCACATTGGCGTAGGATTTGGCTTAATAACTGCATAATGACGGATGTGACGTAATATGCATTTATTTGAGAGTGAAATTTGTTATTAATTAGCATCATATCATGCCATTATCGGTGAGGAAATGAATGCTACTGTTAAAGGACAAGAGTACTTAGGGAGTGTTTCTCGGTCCTTTGTAAGCATCAAGGATCCTGTAGGTTGCAACTTTAAGCGATGTAGCCCTGTAGGTGACGACTCTATTGACCCCCAGTGTACACTTTTATTTGGAAAGAATGATTTAAGTGATATCTCAGTTTGGCCTCTTGGCCTATGTATTTGGTACAATTTAGTTTCCCTTTTATTTTATTTTTCGCCTTTTGGTCTCTATGCATTTGAAAATGTAGTTATTTTCATTAAATGAAGTATAAATTTTGGCAACAATATAAACAACGATGTTGAAGGTTTTGATTGAGTTCAATGTGTTCCTGGTACTACCTGTCTTCTAGGATGTTGAAGGTTGTGTTACTTGATGTTGCATTCATGGAACCCAAAGATTTGGCTCAATTGTTGGTGGTCAAAACCAGAGCTGGGCTATTTGATAAGCTACTGGTCCGCTGCATAACCCAAAGAGTTTGCAAGAGTAATATTGAATAACCCAAAGAACTTGCTATTTGATGAAGCCACGAACATCTCAACTATTACTAGCTCAAGAGTACATATTGAATAACCCAAAGAATTTGCTAGCACTGATACCTCATGTTCGTCTGCAAGTATATTTGTAGATGAAGTTCCTCACGGGCTTCCGTGCTGATGTTTAAATTAGTCATTCTTATGATTATGTATTGGCATCAATTTGGAGATCTGGTGGTGCTAGTGGATTCTCCATGTATCATGAATCATTGATCTTCCATTGTAAGAGATGGGAATTTGTTGTAGTTTGTTAATAAGAACGGTATGCGTTGTTCTTGGTTCGAAGTCGAGGCCAATTGTGTAGCTTTGACAATCAAAGGTCCATCAACCACAATACTTGAAAATTATCAAGGTGCAATGACTTTTCATGCTAATATCATAGAAAAGGCTTTCCCATAACAAAATATTTCTGAAGTTAATATCAAGTAGAATAACTGTTTTATGAGTTGCGAAACCACTCTTTAATCAAGTCAAACACTTTTTAACGTAAGTGGTACAAAAATAAACGTATTCATTACATACAAAAATGGGAATTGTTGCATATGCCGTAAGGCATAAACAATTTGTTGTTGAATGACCGGTTGGTTCAGGCATGACCATAAGATGCTCTTGCAATACTTGTGAGTGATTCCTTTGTTGTACATTACAATGCCTCAAGTTCACATTGTAAGTCGTCACTTCCATATTTTCATTGCACCACTAAAAAAAACTGTTTCGGACACCGATAATACATTCTTCCAGGGTTGGATGGGGAACTTGATGTGCTTAAATTACATGGTATGTCGTGCCGCAGACAAGTATGATGTGGATATCCTCCAGTATCTGTGGAAACTGATGACATCCTGACTGGTTCAAAGGTCTTGACCAAATTTCACAAAAAATTAAACAAAAAAAATGAATTTCTCTTGCAATTGACTTTTTTTTCATAAGCACTCGAGTCTCATACAGAAACAAGCGTCCCACCTAGAATAAGGAAACGAAATTCTACTGCAAAAATACATCACAAACAAGCATCCCACATAGGACAAGGAAACGAAATTTTCTAAATCTATAAATCCATAACCCACCCAAACGACTGTCACATCAATTCAGTATACCATAATAATCCTCTCATTCTCTTCGTTACATGGGAATTTTTTAGACTATAACAGTTTGTTTATGGTTGTATGAATATATTGTATTTAATGAACTATATGTCTTTAAGGTTTTTTACTTTCATGACGCCTCATTAGTATTGGAATTAGTTCTTGGATTAAAAACTCTCTCAAGAAAAACTCAGTGGAAACAATCATTACATCCAGAGGACTTATCTAGGAGTTAACTTTGGGGTGGTCCTATTTGGATTAGGATGGACTTGTAGACCCAAATTAAAAAAATGTTAAAGTTTCAAATATGGAGAGGTCCTAGTGTACCTACCTTTCGGCTGCTTTTCACTTTTTTTTTGTAAGGGCAATGGTTTGATAGGGCTGCAGCCCTATCAAAATAAGGAAAGCCTCACTTCGAAACTCATCAAAAATTATAATTCATCTATCCAGCTTGAATATAAAAGTTGTCAAAAAAAAAATGAGGATTTCAAGAGCTAAAGATGGTGCATATTGCAACAAATCATTTAGACCATCCATTTCACCCAAAAAACAAGTGTTCAAATATCCACAAGATTTGTGCAATTTTTTGAGTTTCAAATTTTATTGTTGGTATTGGAAATTAATTTTAGAGCCATCATAAACATTTTCAATGCCGAAAGTACTTTCCAAATGACAATTTGAGGTTAGGCTTTATTTTGTTTTCATAAAGCCTTGGCCCTCTAGAAACTTTATCTTTTTTATAATGGCTTATGTATAGAGAGAAATATATATAAAAATAGAGGGAAACCTTGAGAGCAAAAAGAGAAAATTATACATACAGAGAGGTTTTGTAAGAGATTGAGTTTGCTAAGTACCAACTAGTAATTTTTTTTCATTATTATTAGTTAAAAACTGTCGATCGTCTTTTCTTGTGGATATAGTTACATCTATGACAAATCACGTAAAATCCTAGTGTCCTTTTTGCATTATTTCTTTCCTGTTTTACTATTATTATTATTTTACTTGTTGCTGGGGTTGTATTTTTTCTGACTTTTTATTTACCAAAAATCAACCGGAGTTTCAGAGTTTCTATGCAAAACACTCCATATTCTGCAGGAATACGCACAAAAAGTGAAGCGTAATAATGGAAAACTCAAAAAGTAATGAGAACTAATCAAAACTCGTTTTGTACAATCTACTTTAAATCATAATTGGAACTGATTGAATTGTATGAAAGTATCACATGGATAAGATAACCACTATCAATGTCAGACTACAAGTTAATTTCTTTAGAGATACAAAAGCATGGTTTTGAGTAGCAAAAGGATTAAAGAATACAGTACTTTATATCCTTAAACTCTAAAAGCTTAATTCGATGCTTCTCAATATACTTCAAAAAATTCTTTAAGAAAATTCATGCAATGCTCTTGTTACAGTATGTTTGGACCTCCAAACTCTACTGAACATTACTGCAATAGGCATATTTTAAAAGAGTAAAGAAGACAAATGCATGAGCATTGGTGTTGCTAGACATCCTAAGATGCCAAAAACCTTCTTGAGACACCCATTTTCAAATAAACAGTCTGCCACAAAAGCAAAGGCTGTGGAAACAAATGCAGCATCTCAATGGAGCTTTTAGCAAGTCTCCAAGGTGAAGGACCTTTTCCCATGGAGCAACCACATAGCAAGTCAACGGTTTATAACATGTGAACTGAAGAAGCTACACATAATGAAATTGACGCCGAATAGAAGGGCGTGGAATTTCTGATCACATCAAATTTTCTAACAAGCTGAAAGAGCTGGGGTAAAGCAAGCCAGTCCGATGTTCCTGTACAAACACTATTTGCAGTTTGACGGCATGACTCTTTGAATCAAGCAAGCCCTTCCACTACAAGTTAAACCTTGGGGAAGAATAATAACATTTATTAACAGAACTTATATATGCAGCATCTACAGTTTTCCAGACATGGTCTCTATCTATGTGTCCACCCGATCACATCCCAGTTGATCAGTCGAAACAATCTTGCATGGTCCTTTCAAGTTTACCTCAGATTCCAGTTATTTCTTCCTTCCATGCATATCATGGTTCGCTCACAAGTCCATAATGGCAATGCTGTTCCAGCTTTCATATGAATGTTTGAACCAAATTATAAAGGTATCATGACCATAACAAGCAAACTGGAGAAGAATCATTCCTTCCAAACTTCCTAATGAAGTTAAGCAGAACAAGCAATATAGTCCATTATTTCTTCCTTGCAACAAAATGTATATATTTTTTAAGGAAATAAATGAGGCTAAAATTGATCGCTTAGAAGTTTATCTTCAGTTGCCAATCAATTCAAAAATATCTGAAAATTTGATTAAACCTTTAAAGGAGAAGCTCACATTCCAAGGTCCATAGTGAACTCTGTTTTAACTGGGACCCTATACCAATAATTCTCATAACTCTCAATCAAACCATTCTAATGACCCTGATTTATAGATTAAACTTTACTTGGTTGCAAAAGAAATCCTGATTCTGATGTAAAATGAATTCCAATTTAAATTTAAAAGGACATGCCAATTTTGTGCTTGATGAAAATTAAAAATTCCATAATAATGGCAACCACTTTTCCAATCTGCAAACAACAACTTAGGTAAGTCGTAACTTTTCACTCTATGTCACCTAGATGCTTCAGCATTACATTCCCAAATATATTCCTTACAGGGGGCTAGAGTCACTAAAGTTCTGGCAACATTTTTCTCTAACAGATTCCTCATTCAATTCCCAAAAACAGCTTATCATCAGAAGACTCTTCTCACCTTTTCCTCCAAGTAGATGACAATCGAACTTATAATTTGAAGTGACAATTTTTAGACATACTAGTCAGACTGATTTTTCCATAAGTAACATTTGATTAGAGCACAGGTTATAGTAGAACTAATCAACCAAGTATGTTCTGGATCTGATCTGATCTGGATTCGTTTCTAGATCCCATATATACTCCGAATCTGGATCCCGGTGCATCCGAACCTGATCCGATCCATTCTCAGCCCTCTCTTTCACTATTCAATTTTTATACTATCTTCTACTGTAGAACAGGTTCTTGGGAACTGGGAGGCTTCTAAGGCCTGGTCTTTCACTATCCCACATATAGTGCAAGAATTTTCTTGAGTGCTGGTAGGGAAAAGAGATCCATCAGTAACCCATACAATG